AAGAGAATCGCTTAAGCCCAAGAGTTTGAGGTTACGGTGAGCTGTGATGCCATGGCACTCTACCAAGGACTCTGTCTCAAAAAAAAAGAAGTGAGTATTTCCTGGGCTGAGCTAAAAGCTTACACTGAGTAAGCCTTTAGGGGAAAGACTCCGAAGTCTTTTCTATATGTGTGATCTGCTAAGAGATGGAGTCTTCTTTTTTTTTTGTTCTGAGACAGTCTCACTCCATCACCCAGGATAGAGTGCCGTAGCATCGTGGCTCACAGCAACCTCAAACTCTTAGACTCAAGAGAGCCTCCTGCCTCAGCCTCCTGAGTAGCTGAGACCACAGGCACCCAGCACAACACTTGGATAGTTTTTCTATTTTTAGTAGAGACAGGGTCTCACTCTTGTTGAGGTTGGTCTCAAACTCCTGAGCTCAAGTGACCCTCGGCTGCCCAGAGCGCTAGGATTACAGGTGTGAGCCACAGCACCTGGTTGAAAGAGCCTTCTTGACATCTGTGGTGGCCTCCCGCGTAACAGACACCCAGTGAAGCTGTGACACAGGACAAAGATGAGCTGGTCTAGACAATAGAATCCCTAGACAGAGGAAAGCCCTTGCTCTTCAAGGTCTAAACCTAAGTTATGTCCCCCACTTTAGGGGGTGCTGTGGTTTCTACTTCTTCCTAGAGTCACCTCCATCTATCCAAACCCTATTCCTCTTGCTCAGAGGAAATTCCCTGACTGAGATAAGAGGCTCCCAGAGGTTGCCTGCTTCCTAAGAATGATCACCCAGGCTCCCAAGGCCCAGAATTTAGCATTCAGACTCACATGTGCCTATCTCCAAAGTTCGTCTTTCCTCTATATCCTCTGGGCCCTAAGAAGTGTGATATTCTAAGGACTACCAGGGGCTTAGGAGAAAGGTACTAGACACTTGTAGGGGGCCTATACTCCCGGGGCTGCCAGACTCGTGAGTATAAGCCGTGGAATGAAAACAACCCATATTCAAGATGCTGTTAGGTTCAGAAATGAAAGAAAGCAGCCCTTATTGTCAAGGCCCATTCACTCATAAAATGAAATCCTAGTTAACACCAATTTGTGCTATTGGGCCCGGGGGACTGGGAGCTCAAATGCGAAGACAACCAAAAATTAGTGTGGCACGCTTTATATCTGCTTCTTGTCTTTCTTTACATTAAATTCTTATCTTCCCCTCTGGACAGAAAAAAAAAACCCCAAAAAACAACAACTCAACACACAGGTCCACGAAGCCGCTCTTTCATGAAAAGCTTGCATGCTGAACTAGGAAAATGGCCCGCAAATGAGCCAGGGAAAACATTTAACATCTTATACTTACTGTCTAAAGCCCTTAATCCTTATTTAACATCTTTTTGCTTGTTCTACAGTTCAGTGAAGCCAGCTGCTTAGGACTCTTGCTGAGCAGTAGGGAGTTCTTTGAAAACATTCTTGGCCAAATGAAAGCATTTCAGCGTGCTTAATTTGCATATTCCTCTGATGTTTATGAACAATGAAGCTAAATGACTTGAAAAGGGAACGATGATTGTTAATGCCACAGAACTGCTCTCCTCGTGATCCCTGCTACCTGTGGGACGCTCACACTGGCTCCCAGGACAGCCGCCCTGCTCCTCCATGTTTGCATCTCACGTGTCTAAGTTTATACCCAGACTCTGTGTATAGAAACACACATCTCAAATGTCATTAGGTACACAGATCCCTGGATCAGGACAGCAAATGTGGTGCCTCTGCTTTTAGATGTATCAGTCTCCCTCCCCAAAGGTCTGCACTCTCTCCAAGGCAGGAGTTTTTTGTTTGTTTGTTTTGAAGACATTATTTACCCTTTCATACCTGCAGTCCACTGTTTGGCTTTAAGTTGAATTTTTACTTCACATTTACCTGTTATCTTAATGATTTTTTTTTTGAAAGATCTATAATTATTACTTTGTATTTGGCAAGTTATTGCTTTCAGTTCTGGTCTAAGAGCTTGAAGACTGATGTTAAATGATACCCCCATCTGGATAGCTCTTTACCATTTTCAAAGCTTGTTCAAATGTGTTACTTTTATCTTTAAAACAACCATGAGTGGGAAGCTGAGAGGCTGGCAAACAGATTTTACAGATGAAGAAACTGAAGCTTGGGAGCCCTGTGCTATGGCAGTGGCCCCGGAGGTGGAAACAAGTCAGCTGAGTCCTGGGCAAATGTACTTTTCACAATGCTTCAGAATAAAATCATTCCCATCTCTGTTCTTAAATTGAAAACTCCTGACTTATTTCTTACAGAGTGTGGCTAAATGAAGTAGGTTACCCAAATGCAAATACATTATTAGAATAAGAATTTTTTATTTTGACTGTTGTCTACATTTCTAGATTCTTCTTTTTACAATAGTTTTTGACTCAATCCGTGTATTATAAATAATTTTCAAAATTCTACTATTATTTTAGTAGGGTACCAACCTTCTTTAAAAAGTCCCTTCAGTCTATAGGTGATAGCACTTTCAAAAGACACAGATAAACTGCTCTCTCAAAAATATTTACTGAGCATTTTTTGTATGTTAAGTATCCAGTAAGCAATTTTTTTTTGAGATAGTCTTATTTTGTTGCCTTCAGTAGAGTGCTGTGGCATCATAGCTCACAGTAACCTCAAACTCTTGAGCTCAAGCCATCCCTTTGCCTTAGCCTCTCAAGTAGCTGGGACTATAGATGCCCACCACAACAGGAGGCTATTTTTAGAGAGTGAGGTCTCACTCTTGCACAGGCTGGTCTCGAACTCCTGAACTCAGGCAATCCATCTGCCTCAGCCTCCCACAGTGCTAGGATCACAGGTGTGAGCCACCACCCCTGGCCTCACAGTCAGCAATTTGAGATGAGTCATTTTATCTGCCAGTCTTCTTATCCAGCTCTGTATTTTTCTTTTTTTTTTTTTTTTGGAGACAGAGCCTCAAGCTGTCCCCCTGGGTAGAGTGCCGTGGCATTACAGCTCACAGCAACCTCCAACTCCTGGGCTCCAGCGAGTCTCTTGCCTCTGCCTCCCAAGTAGCTGGGACCACAGGCGCCCGCCACAACGCCCGGCTATTTTTTGGTTGCAGCCATCATTGTTGTTTGGCGGGTCCGGGCTGGGGATTCGAACCCGCCACCTTAGGTGTACGTGGCTGGCACCTTAGCCGGTTGAGCTATAGGCGCCGAGCCAGCTCTGTATTTTTCATTTTTAATTTATTCAACAAGTTATGTATTAAACTTGGCCTTCTAACTAGGATCATACCCTGCATGTAGGAATGCTCTTATGATTAACACATTATTGTAACAGGAAGAGCCGAGGGCTAGAGACTAGGCCCCTCATCAGCCAATTATATAAGCTTGGCCATTCAGCACCTTGTCAGGGCCTTGGTTTTCGTTTGGTTTGTTTTTTAAGCTATAACATGGAAATCATACTTAAAATCAACCAGCTTTACGAATCTGTCAAATTTGGGAACGAAATATGACAAATTACGTGGTATAATTATGACAGCAGCTTTGTCAAAATCTATCTGCCTGTGGACAAGAACATGAAGGTCACTTTCAAAAATTAAATGAATGTGTGGATGTGGTAGGGCAGTCAGGATTATGTTCTGTCTTTTCTCCCCCAAACTGTTGTTGTTTTTTTACTAGATAATCAAAATATCCTTTTGATACATATTTTTTCTAACTGCAGGTGGAATGGTTAAGCAAATAATGTCGTGCACAAATGATGGCATATCATGCAGTATTAAGAAGTTTATATATTTTTAATAACATAGGAAAGTTTTCTACAAATAAACACTTTCAACTATGTAAAAATATAATGCACATCAAAAAAATTATAAAGTAAGGTGCTATCTCTCTGAGTGTTGGAATAATAGGCAATAGCTTCCACTTCCTTGTATATTCCTTAAGTTTATACCTGAGACAAATATTGATTTAGAACAGGGAGAAAAATAGTAATGTTACTTTGTAAAATATACTGTGGTACAGGATAAATTCCAAGATAGACTCTCTTACCCAAATTGCATATTCCTTTTTCCAACTGGTACCCAACTGGGCATTTGCAGATAAAGGATCCCTGAGTATTGTTGCACATGGCCAGGGGTGGGCAGGGGTTCGACAGGCATTCATTCACATCTGCAGAGGTGAGGAAGCAAGACCATACTGAATGTGTAGCAGACAGCAAAACCATGATCCAGGCAGTAAGTCCTTACCAGGGGCCAAATGGCACTCACTAGGTGAGGTGGGGCCTGAGGATGAGTAGGAAGAGACCAAGCTTGTCCTCAGGGGCTGACCATCTACTGAGGGTAGAGGCAGCCATCTAAACAACTAACTAGAAATACATAGCAGGATTTGGATGTAAAGAGAAAATGGGAGATTTTGATGAAGGGGAGAATTAAGGACCATTTGAAATAGCAATTGGACTATGGAAGGACTTAAAGAAACAGACTTGGGTGGATGGGGGAGTCTAGGCTGAATTAAAGACCAGAGGTAGGAAATGTAGTGGTCTAGGGGGGAGCTGAAGGTGGTGCAATGTGGCAGGAGTATAAGGAGACCGAGGAATGGAAGCAGATCAGGAAGTTTCTAAGCGCCACACTGCATACAGTCCCTGATGTCATCCTGCAGACAACACACAGGCGTGCTGACTCTCAGGTAAGTGGGCTAGTACCTAAAACATCTTATTCTTCCACATTCTGGAGGGAAAAGGAGTTTACTGAATAACCCACTGTGCTGCTGTAGTGTAGACCACTGGACATTGCTTTTTCTCTTACCCACACTGCAGTTATCCCCTTGCCAGGAAGGTGAGCACACACATTGATAGCCACGACCGGTGGAGTCCTCAGTGCATTTGCCCTCATGAAGACAAGGGTTCTTGGCGCAGTTATTGACTAAAACACATCCCAGGAATGGAGCAGTTAATCACAATGCAGACGTAAGGGCAGCTCAAGGTAAATATTTAATTCACCCAACTAATATCTGATGCTTGCTTATTTCTGTTAACTTGCCCTGAAGGGCCACACTACTAAAATAGAAGGGCTTCCCAAGAGATGCAGAAGACAGGTGCAATGGGACTGGGCACAGGTGTCCCTATACAGTATGAGGAGTAGACAACTGCATTCCTGAGGGCAAGAACTGCTTCAAATCAAGGGCTGTTTATAGGCTTGATGATTACACTGCTTTTGCAATACTTAGAAAATTCTACTTGAATCAATGCCTATTTAAAACACATATTAAGGGGGAAAAGGACCTCTGATCAACTCATCCTATGTGTGGGCACACATTCTGCCTTTCCTCTGGGACTTTCTTAATCAAAATCATTTATCCCCAAATCTCCAAATTTAACTGAGTCTCTACATACTGTCCCTCATTTAGGAATGATCGGAGTTGAGCACTATAACACCTTCTCTTTACATAAGGTAAAAATGGGCCCTACCGGAATTCACCTAGGCAATCAGGCAAAAACACCTCCCTGCCTTCTTGGATTCCCAGCTCCCCACGACAGTGACTACAGTCAGTTTTGCATAATCAGTTTGCTTTACTCTCCACTTATGTAATAATTGCTTCATAAAGGTTTCTGACCCATACTTAGAAAAGCTGAAAGCAGCAACATAACTGCATTGTCTAAAGGACTAAATCAATGGTAGAATGAGAAAAAGAAGGTGGAAGTCAAAAATTCTCACTCCAAAAAACCCCCTAAAAACAAACGAGCTAAACTACAGGAGATGCTCCTCTTCTTCATTGCTACTTTAAGTATCACCCAAAATCATCTACATAAGCACAGCACCTATATAATCAAACACTGTACCCACAAACACTGGCACAAAAAATATTCACAGCCAGTGGGTCTGCTCCTAATACTCCCCTATAGTTATCACTGGAATAGCTATACTTGTTTTTAAAGAAGATTCATTAATTTCATTCCATCTGGTATTAGAACATATTTGGCCTCTGAAGATGAAGGCTGTGGGCCTTGAAGCAAGGCTCCCAAGCTTCCCTGGAGAGGGATCCACCTTTCACTTCCCCGAGGTGCTCAAGTCAGTGGCACAAAGAGGGTAACTGAGGGACTGGTGGTGGGATGGTTAATAAGAACAGGCTGATTGTGGCTGACTAGTGGGAATGGTGCTGCTCCCGGAGCTCCCTGCTCCAGCCTCTGCAGGGCACCTTTCTTCTTTCCTTTTTCCTTGAGATGCCAGTTTCCATTTCACCCCTTCTCCAACAGCAGTTTTGCTTTCCTGGGTCTGCATAAGCCAAAGTGCAATTTGAACATAACATTGAAAAACAGACCATCTTACTTTCTTTTGCCATTCCTTAAATAACAAAGGATTGTTTGGATGGCTTTATTTTCCTTGCACCAGCATCTTCGAGGTAACTACAAAGATAATCCCTCAGTGCAATGTGAAGGAACCCCTGTCACACAGACGCTATGGGAAAAAGTTAGTTCATCATCTCTTTAATTTACATGTCCCCTCACCCCATATATCAGTTAGCACCATATTTCCTGGGAGACAAAGGAGCTTGGGCTTCCTTAGATCTAGAAAAGCCTTCTGTCTCCAAGAAGGCTCTGGTGACTGGAGAGCCAGATGACTGGCTCAGAGGCTTTAGGCTGTAACCCAGGAGCAGGTTCCCAATCAATCTCTGTCACAGGTAGGCCACCTGAAGCTTGTTTACTTTGCTATCTCAAGCCTCCCAACCTACGTCACTGCCATGCTCTGACTACAGAGGAGTTAAAGGCACACTTGACAAGCTCCGGCAACTACAGGGCCTTAAAAGCTACCCCTGCACTATCTACTAACATCACGCATGGCCAAAGCATCTTCTTCTCTTCACAAAGAATTAATGTAAGATTAGGTCCACCATGACCTTCTTTTATGCTTTAAGTGTTTTAACAGGAAGCAGTTCAGGTCACAAAACACACAGTTTCAAGTCCTAGCCATTTCCACCAATTCGTAAGAACCCCAAGCCCCATGCAGTGCTGGTCCTGGACAGGCCTTGCTGCCAACATGTGCTTTACCTGAGGCTGACGATGACAATGCTGTGGGGGACCACGTGCTGCTGTGAACAGCAAAGGTGGCAGAATTAGGAGTTGACACTTCAGCTGTAGAAACATCTGTGGTTTGGGGGGAAAGAGATGTCTTGAGGACATGTGAAGCCGGGCTGTGCTCTTCTATAATGCCAAGCCGTGTGGTCAGTTCTTTTGCTGATGTGAGTACACTGGTCAGAGGGATCAATTTGGTGGTAGCATCTTCATGCACCTCGGTCCTCTTTGTGCTGACAGCAACTTGTGTTGAGACATGTGGCACGAGAATTTCAGGATGGGTTGGCAAGAGCTGTTTCTGTATAGCTGTAGTCTGTATGGGTATAGGGCTACTGATCAGAGAAGCTGTGCTTGATGGGGTGCTGGGAGTGGTCACAGGTGGATGAAAAATCTCAAGAACGGTGGCTGTCAGAGCTGGAGACATTGGGGCTAAGCTGGTGCTAGAGGGTGGAAGGGTTTGCTCTGTGGAAGACTCTGTTAAGGCTGGAGATAAAGAGACCTCCGAAGGAGAGCTCATTGTTACAGCATTGATGGACTCTGTGGGCAGAGACATCAAGCTCGGTGACTTTGATTCTGTAACAATTTTCTCTTGGTGTGAGGTGCTCTGGTTCTTAGGGTCTACTGTTTGACTACTGCTGGGTGTTGCCACAGATGATGATGCTGTCAACATCTGAACCGAAGTCATAGGAGTCCCCCTTACCCTGGGTAGGACTAGGGTAGAAGACGAATGTGGTAAGGTTGTCTGCGAGACAGAAAGTGGGGCAGGGGTAGATGCTGTCGCGGATATCGGTGAAGGTGAGGGTGAGGAAGACAAAGGCAGAGATGCATCAGAGGTAGACTTCAGCAGATACACAGAGGCCCTGGGTGATGGTAAGGTTGATGAAAACTGGTGGGATTGTGATCCTGAGGGCAGAGGCAGAGGAGGCACTGAAGGAGAAGATGACGAGCCACCAACAGACTGAGCAGCAGCATCTGGCATATTAACGGTGGATGTGAGGGACAAGAGGTCAGATGTATGCTGAACCGGTGACTCAGTGGAAGGCTGAGCATATTCCCCATCGTAGGATGAGATGTTACTTCTTTCAGTCTGAGCATGAGAAGAGGAAGAATAGTCCGAATACGAAGGGTTTGAGGACTTGATATAAGAGGTCGAGCTCTCCCTGATGTCTGAGGATGAACTGTTATCTGTAATGGACAGTAATGCCCGTTCTCCTTTGGTGAAAGTTGATGAAATGTAAGTGTGGTCTGTGTGGCTGCTGGAATTCCTTTGTTCAGTTTCTGTGCCACTCACTTGATCGTAGCTAATTCCAGTGACTACAAAGGAAAAAGCCAAAGTCAGGTCAAGTAAACAAACAAGGAGCCTATGAAACACACAGTACAAAACAGACTTTTAATGTCCTACCCATGAACTTAAGTGGATGAACACTTTCTTTGGAGAAAGTGGTTTGCAATGGGAAGTGATCTGAATAGAGATGGTGCCAGCTGACGGGAATGGTCAGGGTGTGCTCTGAGCTGACTGACCTCTTGTGGCTTCTCACTGAAAATGGTAATAAAAGAGAAGTGGGGACCAGAGGCCTAAAAGTAGAGAGTAATTCCAAATTCCTTCCACATGCCTTTTTTGGTAAAAATCATTTGGTATCTGAAAAGCTCTTAAGACCCTCCTGCCCAAGAGAATAACTGCTATGCCTAAATAGAAAAAGGAAAACTCTCCTAAACTTTCCATTCTGCATAATGAGGTGTTTCTTTCCCAGGATATTGGTCTGAGTCTCAAAGTGGCTGGTCCCCTTTACTGTAAGCCTCCCAGCAGACAGGGTCCCAAAAGCCTCACGCTGGTGTGAGGGTGAGACCGGTGGCGGAAGGGAGGGGTGTTTGCCTTCCCGAGGTGGGAAAACCCAAAAAGTTCTCTCCCTGAAGAGCCTGTAGGGTAAGTCCTGAGTGGGCCACCAACTCAGAACTTTGAGTACAAGGACAGATGAGCTGCAGAGATGCGCTAAGAGGCTCTGAGAAGACACCTGACCTCCTAGGGCCCTCGAGGAGGCCAGGCTGGTGCCGTCGGTGACGTTCAGGCGGGAAGCGGCGCCGTCTGTTCCCGCGGGGCTCCGGGCAGGAGTGGCGCTGGTACTGGCGTTGGTGGGGGCGAGGGACCGCAGCGTGCGCTCCGCGACTCCAGCCAGAGTGGCCGAGGTGTGCGCGCTGCGCGGGGGAGCCCTGGGTGTCCTGTCCCGCACACCTTCGCCGCCATCTTCCACCGCTGAAAGAGCAGAGAAAGGGGACCGTGAGGATGCAGGGGTGGGCCCCACTCCCAGGCTGTGTCTGGGGGGTGCTGCTGTGGCAGACCTAGCACGCACTGGGGGACAGTGGGGACGCAGGGGCGGGCCCCGCTCCCAGGCTGTGTCTGGGGGGTGCTGCTGTTGCAGACCCAGCACGCACTGCTGGTTGGCATGTCTCTCCGGGGGAACTGGGGTCAGGGGAACAGGACAGGATCCGTACTGGATTTCTGCTTGATACGTAAGAAACAGCATTTATGTCGGGGAAATTGGCATTGGTGGGGTGGCGGGAGGTGAACGGTGGGCAAAAGACTAAAGTTCGCACAAGGCCCAGGAGGGGAGCACAGTCCTCCTTGGAAGGCCCTTCAGAGGTCTGTGAACGCTCCTCATTCTGTAGTGTTAGTACATTGGCATTGAAATCCGGCCTGTGGTCAGAGGTGAAAGGTGGGCTTGGTTTTTGTTTTCTTTTATCTTTTTTAATACATTTATTTTATTAAGGATGGAACAGGGAAGGTGACACAATAATAAATATCCTTTTCCTCCTCTTTTGGCTATGTTTTGTGCTATAAACCTAAAGAATCTTAGAACTATCTTCGATTGTTGTATTAGATTATCAAATAAACTCTCTTTTCAGAAGTTATAAAAATGAAGTCCAATTCTTCTTGGCCTACATACCTCTTAATGCAGCTATATGAGAAAACAGACTTTCCTGGTTTGCATTCCCATTCCCTGCCCAGACTAGCCCTTGCTACCTACCCTTTGGGCATACTTTGATGGAAAACAGATGTAGAGTTGAGTGTTAGGTAAATTCCTTTCAGGACAGGTCGAATTAACTGAGAAACAAGTATAAGTGTGGGGACAGGACACACGGTGACCTCAAGCAGCACTGAGGAAACCAGGACCCGGAGAGAGCCAGGCTGAAGAGAGTGTGGTGTATATGAGCAGGATTTAAAAGCCAAAGGCCTTGGATGGGGATATTTTAAGTGTTTTGTTAAACAAAATTTAGGTATACAACCACATTAAGGTTCCAGGCTTAACTAAGTGAACAGTCACGACCAGACACAGAAAAAGGAACAGACTGAGAACTCTGAAAGGCTGGACTGCAGAATCAGGCAGCTTCGGGTGATTCCAGGAAACGAGATAAAGCTTCGTGTTAATCCACAGTGAGATGGTTTCAGGAATGAGGCTACTCCTCATCTAGCTCTTTATAACTGAACCCTAAGATCTGATCACAATGAAATCCCCCTTTCCCCATGAACTGACTGAGCATTAGCTACAGAGAAGAAGGGTAATGGAGAGGCCTAAAAAGGAAAGGATATTGAACTTGAGATAGAGGTTGGAAAAGGTAAAAATCCCAACCCTCCCTCCCACCATGATGAGGGTGGAAAAGGATCCCTTTTGCTCAGGAGATAAGGAGTAACTCCCTCTCCCGGGGGTGCGGTGCTCTTTCCTGATAAGCATGTGCTTTCCCCCATCACATCAGTAGTAATAATATACACTAATCTTCCTCATCAATTTGGATTCTCAAATGGGAGAAATGGAGAGGTAAGGATTTAAACCTATTACAAGCTTAAATGATAAATAGTATATTTTTGCTTTAATTAGAATATACTTTACATTGATAAACCTGCCGAGATTATTTTTAAAAATTCCCCCAAAGCATTATTAAAACAAGTCAAAAGAAAAGTTTTCTTGAATTGATAAATTGGACTTTGTCAAAATTAAAAACTTTTGTGCTTTTAATGATGCAATCAAGAAAATGAAAAGACAGCCCACAGAATATGAGAACTGTCTGCAAATTATATATCTGATGAAGGAACAGAAACTTTTTTTTTTTTTTTTTGAGACAGAGCCTCAAGCTGTCACCCTGGGCAGAGTACCATGGCATCACAGCTCACAGCAACCTCCAACTCCTGGGCTTAAGCGATTCTTCTGCCTCCGCCTCCCAAGTAGCTGGGACTATAGGCGCCCACCACAATGCCCAGCTATTTTTGGCTGCAGCCATCATTGTTGTTTGGAGGGCCCAGGCTGGATTTAAACCCACCAGCTCAGGTGTATGTGGCTGGCGCCTTAGCCGCTTAAGCCACAGGCACTGAGCCGAGGAATAGAAACTCTTACAACTCAATACTAAAAAGACTACCTCAATTGGTAGGGCACTGGGCACATACACCGAGGCTGGTAGGTTTGAACCCGGCCCTGGCCAGCTAAAACAACGAGAACTGCAACAAAAAAATAGCCAGGCGTTGTGGCAGGTGCCTGTAGTCCCAGCTACTTGGGAGGCTGAGGCAAGAGAATTGCTTAAGCCCAAGAGTTTAAGGTTGCTGTGAGCTGTGAGGGTATAGCACTCTACTGAGGGTGACATAGTGAGACTCTGTCTAAAAAAAATAAAAAAGACAACCCAACTTTAAAACACAAAAGATTTGAATAGACATACTCAAAGAAAGTAAATGGTCAATCAGCACATGAAAAGATGCTCAGCATTGTTAGTTAGCTGGGAAGTGCAAGTCAAAACCATAGTGAGCTGCCCTCCACACTCACTAGAATGGCTTTAATCAAAAAGACCGACAGCAGCAAGTGTCAGGGAAGATGTGGAGACACTGGAACACCTGTGCCTTGCGAATTGGAATACAACATAGTGCAGTCACTTTGGAAAACAGTTTGGCAGGTCCTTAAAAGCTTAAAAATAGAGGCACCCTATAAACCAAAAATTCTAAGGAAACTGAAAACTTGTGTCTTAAATGTTGATAGCAGCATTATTCATAATAGTCAAAAGGTGGGAATTACCCAAACATCCATCAATTGCTAAAAGGATAAACAAAATGTGGCATATCTACACCCTAGCAGATTATTCAGGCTACAACACAGATGAACCATGAAAACACAAAAGGCCACATATTGTATAATTTCATTGATAGGAAATGTCTAGAATGGGAAAATCCACAGAGACAGAAAGTAAATTAGTAGTTGCCAGGGACTGGGAGGAAGGCAGAATGGGAAGTGGCTGCTGATGAGTATGGGGGTTTCTTTCTGGAGCAGCGAAAATGTTCTAGAATTAGACAGTAGTGATGGTTGCACAACTTTGTCAATATACTAAAAAGCACTGAATTGTACATTTTTAATATGCACTATTCTATAGAATAGTGAATTACATCTCAAAAAAAGAAAACACTAAATGAAAGGGAGAATTTCTTTTGATGAATGCCCAGACAACTACTCAGAAGGTGATATTTTCACCTTCCAGAAGCTCTGTGACTGAGACAAGTGTGAGGCCGGGGGTCAGCCTACAGGGAATTGGAGGAGAGAAATCCTTGAGCTGTGTGGGAAGAAGAGGTGGTAACACTAGATTCTCAGAGATGGACCAGAAGAAAACTGGGAGTGCATAGATATATCTGTATCACCCGGCTGGAAGAATGGCTTGGAAACTAGAGCAATCTGGAAAGTCACTTCATTAATGCACGGTCTTAATGCCTCAGACTACAAAGCACTGTAGGTCCCTCTCCCCTCGATGTGGTATGGTACAGTTCTGTGAAATGAAAACTCACTCGAACGTTCTCCACGTGGTGCTGAAGAATCCAGGCTTTCTGAGGAGGATGTGGACAAAGACTCTGAATAACCACTATCACTCAACACGGTGCTCCTTCCTCTGGTCTGTGGAGCAGAGTCCGAGAACCCGGTGAAAACTGAAGCCCTCACAACATCGGGATATGAGGCAGAGCTTCCTTTTGCATCTGCAAATGTCTTGCTGTTGGTCGCGGCCCAGTGTGCCGTGCTCTCTCCAGCTCTGGTGGATGGGAATGACCTGGACTCAGACTCAGTCTGAGACACAGAACTTCCATGTTGTGCCTCAGAGCTGCTGGCAAGCTGGTGTACTCTGAAGGCTGTAAGGTATCATAGGAATAAAATGCCATTGCATGGATATACAAGGGATCCCTCAACAGCCAAGAAGTGAGTTCTCTCCAAGGAAAGAGGAACTTTTCCCAGGAACCTCGTACAGTGTTTATTATATGTATAACCTGACATGCACTATCATATTCCAAATAATTTCTTCAAGACACTGGAAGTCTAGTATTAGTCTAGTCTAGACTAGTACTGCAAAATAGCAATACTAAAAAATAAATGTTGTAAACAGCATGTGCAAGGAGCAGAGTAACTTACAAGCTGGTGTGTTTCATTCTATTTCCCACAAAAAGTGGTCAAGGGAGTATGTCATTACGCCCAACCAATATGATGTGCATAAATACAGCGCTCAGGCAGTGCACTCTTCCAAAACAGTTTTAATAATACACATTATTATAATTCCAAAGTATAGTCCAAAAAATTGCCTATGGGGAATAAATCAAACCATGAATTCGGGAACTATCTATACACTGGAGTGTACAGATGAACGATGGAAACTACGTTTGGAGAGCGGGCCAGCTCTCACTTTGAAGATAATACCGCAGAGTAAAAGACGATGGATCCCATCCTGAGAGCTCTCAGGCTGCAGTCTCAACCCTGCTAAGCGAGCTAAACGGCCACACATGCATTACTCAACTCCTCTGAGCCTTAGCATCTTCATCTGTAAAGAAGCAGGAGGAATGACACCCATCTGACTAACTTCATGTGATGTCTTCATAAGGATGAAAATCAAACTGCAATAACGTGGCATACCAAAGGAGCTGGTGTCATCAAATGCATGTTTTCTCTAGAGATTATAAATGGTCTTGAAGAGATTTCCCTAAGAAAATTCGACTACAGTAGAACCTTTGTAAAGTTGACTCCCCAACGGACCATAACAAACTGGTCAACATATGGAGGTGGTCAACATAAGGAACCAGGCCTGTTGTACTGATGCATACATGTGGTACATGGCTGGTCTTTGAAAATGAGGACAACTTCAGGAGGTGATCAATGTAGGGAGGTGGTCAACTACAGAGGTTTTACTATATTTATAGTGTCTCAAGTAGGTCAAGTAAAGATGGAATACTTACTTGGGGAGTCATTTTGCCAACGTGAAGATGTAAGTCCGTCTTCTGTGGATGGCTCAGTGAATTCCCCATCCCCTGGATTCCCAGTTACTTGACTGTTCCTTCTTGATTCCACTGCAGACAGTGAAGAATGGACTGAGACTGAAGTCGTGGCAGTCTTAGAGTCCTCAGTGAAGCCCCCTGTCTCATTTGTAAGTCCCAGACTGACAGTCAAAGATCGGAGCATCCTTGGAACACCATCAGTGAATGTGGCAGTAGAATGGATACTCTTTGTCTGTCGGACCAAGGGGCTATGGTGACTGGTGGAGTTGTTAAGCCCCTCTGTACTTCCAGAAGCTACAACAGAAGAAGATATGCTTCAGAATTACTCAGGAGTTTAAGAAAATGAGGAATGTATCTAGGTATAAATGATGTCTAGTTTGCTTTGGTGGCTAGGTCTAATACTGGGGACCTAACAGAGATACAAACACATACGTGTGTTTACATGTACGCGTGCAACCATCACATGCTCCTTCACTCCTCACTCGCTCAAATTCTCATATAGCTCAGTGGAGAAGCAATGAGGCCCTCATCAGGCACAATGAAACACTTATGCTCAACTAAAAGGAAAACAGGGGAAAGCAAGGCGAATATATTATTTGCCCGAGTTTTTACAGAGGAAGATTAAAAGTTCTGCTGAATTCTACCTTATAGCTTAAATAGGACAGTCATGGTGATAAGGTTTTCATACTTTTGTTTTATTTTAGCGACGTAACCCTTTTGTTCAAATGCTATTATAGATTAAAGTCCTGAACATAAAATAAATAAAGGGTGCCCAGACTCCAGGTCACCACTGAAGAGGCTTAGGGTTTTGCAGAATATAGTTGAGACACTAATGACCCAGAACAGTAATTCTCAGCTTTGTTACCATCCCAGGCTATTTATTATTCCTCATCTCATAGCTACCATAAACTTTATGTTTTGAAAGACTACTAACTAAACTGCATTTATTTATTTATTTATTTTGAGACAGAGCCTCAAGTTGTCCCCCTGGGTAGAGTGCCATGGCATCACAGCTCACCACAACCTCCAACTTCTAGGCTCAAGCGAGTCTCCTGCCTCAGCCTCCCAAGTAGCTGGGACTACAGGCGCCCGCCACAACACCTGGCTATTTTTTGGTTGCAGCCGTCATTGTTGTTTGGCGGGCCCAGGCTGGATTCCAACCCGCCACCTTAAGTGTATGTGGCTGGTGGCACCTTAGCCACTTGAGCCACAGGCGCCGAGCCCTAAACTGCATTTATTAAGTAACAGAACTTCTTAGCCAGCAGGAAATATTCCTTATTACCCCATGAATTTGATTTAATCCCATCCCAAAGCAAACAGGCTTCATTACTGTAGTTGGTCTCATTCACCATTAGAGATTAGCTCTCAAATCTGCATGCTCCAGTGGGTCACCAGGAGATCAAGGACTCCAGAACAATTTTTCTAATGAATGGATGTCAGCCATTGGGTAACTGTCAAGAACCTCAAGAAATGAATTATACTCACTGGTCAAACCGCATGGTCTGCTATGCATAAGTATGGGTGACTTATTCATGGCTCCCTTCCACAAAGAACTTTCCAAAGGATACCTTGAGAACTGACCTCAAGAAAGGTATATTAAAATTTTCATTCCAAACAGTAATACACTGCAGGAAATCTTGGTGAGTGATAAGAAACATAGTGGGTAAGACCAAAGGCAAAAGAGAGTGCTTTTCTTCTTTTTAAGTTAAAAATAATAAAAAGTACTCTACACCTATCTAGTGAAAGCCTTTGAGCTATAAATTATGACCCAGAAAACAGAAAAAGGAAGTCATAACAAGCAGTTCCTTGAAGATCAGTCTTGTGTACAGTTATAACCAAAAGCACAAATAAATTTATTTATTTATTTATTAGAGACCAAGTCTCACTGTCACCCTTGCTAAAGTGCCATGGCATCATCATAGCCACAGCAATTCTCTTGCCTCAGTCTCCCAAGTAGCTGGGATTACAAGCATGGGCCACCATGCATGCCTGGCTAGTTTTTTCTATTTTTAGTAGAAACAGAGTCTCACTCTTTTCTTCTTTTATTTTTTTGAGTCCAAGCTTCACTATGTCGTCCTCAGTAGAGTTCTGTGGTGTCACAGCTCACAGCAACCTCAAACTCTTGGGCTCAAGCACCTGCCACAATGCCCAGCTATTGTTTTGTTGCAGTTGTCATTGTTGTTTAGCTGGCCCATGTCAGGTTTGAACCCACCAGCCTCAGTGTTATATGGCTGGCAGTGTAACCACTATGCTACGGGGGCTGAGCCTCACTCTTGAGACAGAGTCTTACTTTATCAACCTCAGTAGATTGCTGTGGCGTCATAGCTCACAGCAACCTTAAACTCTTGAGCTCAAGTGATCCTCTTGCCTCAGCCTCCCGAGCAGCTGGGACTACAGGCACCCGGCCACAACGCCTGGCTATTTTTAGAGACGGGGTTTCGCTCTGGCTCATGCTGGTCTGGAAACCTGTGAGCTCAGGGCAATCCACCTGCCTCAGCCTCCCAGAGTGCTAGTGGCGTGAGCCACTGTGACTGGCCCAGGGAATCTCACTCTTGCTTATGCTGCCCTTGAACTCCTGAGCTCAAGAAATCCACCCATCTCAGCCTCCCAGAATGCTAGGATTATAGGCATGAGCCACACAGCCTGGCCCACAAATAAATTTTACATATAGTTTGATTTTTTTTTTTTGCAGTTTTTGGCTGGGGCTGGGTTTGAATCCGCCACCTCCAACATATGGGGCCAGCGCCCTACTCCTTTGAGCCACAGCGCCATCCCCAATAAATATAGTTTGAGAGAGTATAGGAAACAAAAGGTTCCTCTTACTCGTATACAAAACCATAGAACCAGCTATACCTAAAACGTAGCCTGAGCTCTGGTCACTGGACCTCAATGAAGACAAAATGAAGATGCAGGCAATTCACACAACTAGTAAATGAAACAAAGGAATAAAAGAGCCAGACACAAAAATAGAATCCTAGACCACCCAAACTCACCCTTTACTTAGAAACAAAAAATAAACCACAGAGAACAAACAAAAAACACTTTAGTAGTAAGGAAAAGGAAAGCATAATAGACACGGCCCGAATCTTCACTCGACCACTGAGCCTCTCAGGCCTGACCTCATTAGGGTTATCTACTCTATCAACCAGATTACAACCTCAACAATCACTAGATGTTCTTTCAAAACTATTTTATTCCTAGTACACTGCATTATTCCATCCATTCAATGTTCCCATCAAAACACGATGGTAATTGTACTAGGTTCATCCTGAATTACCCAGGCCTGTTCACCTCTGGTGGTTTTAGCAAAAATGTCCACAAAAATACGATCCCAAAAGTCACAAATGCTGAAAGTCATGAAAGAAAAATGGCTGTGTTCTTCCCTGAACCTGAGAGCTCTACAGAACACTGCTGCTTCATCTCATCATCTCATCATTATCATCCTCATAAAGTGCTACCAGGTACTGACCAATTACGGTGCACCAGCCGTGGTGCTAAGTGCTTTAAATACAAATCTCATTTAATCCTCATAGTAAAGCTATGAAATGTGTGTGACTTCTATAGACTCGGTGTCTCTTAACGAAAAGAGGAAATGTTTGGCCCCATATACAGTCACCACTTGTATTCCTCAGTGAGCACCTGCTAAGTAAATCTAGGGGGAAATGTGCCATGTTTCCAGTCAACCAGCCAGCTTGTCCTTCCTTGCTCATTTCTAGCCCTAAGGGGGCCATTCATAAATGGAGGGCCCGTCATCTGGGAACAGGAATAAGCCAGGTTCCGAACCTTTATAACACGAGGTGGAAAGAATGCCTGCTCATCTGGTCGAAGTACACAGGTCACTCTCCCATCACAGCACAAAATACGGGAACCTGAGGCAGGCATCAGAATGTTCAGCCTTGATTTGACTGCTATCCAGAGCTTGCCGAAAGCATTGCTGAAGCAGCTGATATTTGAGAAAGATATGCTCCATCTATGATCTTCTGAGTTATTTATGCTTTCTCCCTTTACAAAGGGAAATCACCACCACGCAATTTCCCTGGACCGCATTAGCTTAGCTGCCCACAGAAATACTTTTATAAGTTGAGATCCATTATTATATCCTCAGTTCCTATTGAGAATCTATATGAAATACTACCTTTTAGAGAACATTAGCATAATTTCCACAAAACAGTAACTGAAGGCATTTTCCAATATGATCCTCCACATTTCTTCTATAAAGAAGAAATTCTCTTAGAATTTACCGCCTCCACAACAATTACGCCTATGGACGCAATTGTGTGCTTACTTTATCTGACAACAATCGCGTGCCCCACCCAGTTTCCCTTTGTGCCCTGGTTTCCAGGAAGCTCAGCGCTAAATTTAGCACTCAATTGTAGCCACTCTCACACAATTCAACATACACATATCTCTTTCCACCTTTAAGAGAGAGCTTTTCCCCGCTTGTCACTTTGTTTACTTTTCTTCCCAACGATCAACCATACATGGTCATTATAGAAAATGTAGAAAGAGGTGAAGCAGCAAGAAAAATAATTTCAAATGATTTCTCATCTCTTTTTAAAGAATCTGATTCTGTTGCCTGAGCCTATTATCTGCTTTAAACTGTAAGGTGTACAACATGTTTGTGGAAGCAGGTAACTCTTGGCCATCGCAGCCTCAGCAGAGGTTGTAAGGCTGGGCTGGGCTGTGGATGTATCTCTGGGTAGCTGAGTGAGGAGGGAAAGGAGGCACAGAACACAGAGGCTGGATGTGTGTGGAGGCTGAACCAGAAAGGATATTTCACATCAACTGGACAGCTCCTTTCATGCTTCAAACAAGGAGCCCCCTCCTCCCTGGGTCAGCCTCCCAGCTGTCATCCTTGTGTTCACCTAGTGAGAAACATCACTAATCTGGCAGGGGTCAGCGCCAGGATTTTCACTGGGTCGTGTTTACCAGTGGATGGAGAAGCCAAGTGCCCAAAGACACCCCTCTCTCCCACCCCCCTGCTTCCTTTCACTTCTAATTATTCAGAGCTGCCCAGGTGGGCCAGTAGACTCCAGGTCTGCCTTTAGTGGGTCCTGCTGGCGCTTGCCAGAGCACCTGGAGCTCCCATGTCATGTGGTAAGAAAGGGATAGTAGCAGGCGCTAGGGTTGCTTTATCTGCCGTGTGCCTTCAGGTCCTATGCCCGCCCCCTGCATCCCCCCAGGGAGGAGGGAAGTTGGTAGGCTGGGTTCAAGGGTCCTTGGATGCCTGGCGATAACCTCCTTTACCAGCACTCAGAGCTCTCACCCAAAGTGGTGGGACCCTGCCTAGAACA